ATTTATTTAAATATTAATTTAAAATAATCAAACTTCTTATGCCAGATTTGAAAATAATATCATCAGCATACCGTTACCCCAAATATTAATAAGATCGTTGAAACAGAAATAAAGTCTAGCTAACTTTCAGTCTTCATTGAAACAAATGTCTGCCTCTATGTGAAAAACAGATGTAAATATTTTGGAGTACTAATACTGCTGGATCCTCATCAAAAATGGTGGCATTCACCTAGAGATTTTTATCTTGATTTCTTAGTTATTGATACATTTCTAAATATGCTGTATTGTCTGTGTTTTAAAATTTGTTTCATAAAATACTTAGGTTGGTTTCCATTTTATTCTCAACTACAGTAAGTTTTCTGCTGTTGACCAACAGAACATTTTAAAAATTTTCTCCATGATCAAATTTCTTTTCTAGTTTTTCAGTGACACATTTTTTAAAAGCCACCTTATGTATGAGAAACTTCACTGAAAATTAAAATTTAGTGCAAGTAAATTTCCATCTAATAACGCCACATGGTAAACAATCAAATGTAATAAAAATAATTTATCCAATTAGAAAAGAACAAGATGTATATTTTCTATATTTACATAACATTTGCCACTTCACTGAACATATTGTATATTGGACATAGTATTAATTAATAATACATCATTGATATCTTTTATTTTGGAATGATGCTAACTCTGTCTCTTGCCTATTCTAATACCAGGTTCCAAGTAATAACTCTACAATACAAAGAAAACAATATCTATTCTAGGGCTAGGCTATGAACTTCACAACTTATTTGGGTACCTATTTCACTGAATTTCCTTGAAAATAATCTGTTCCTGGTGCCCAGTGATAATTCATTTGGGACCTGCATGACTAAAAGAAAGGGAAAAGTGTAGTGAAATGCTGAGGGTCAACAGAACGACCAAAAGGAGAGTTTGCTCCTGGGAAGAAAAAGAGACTTGGTTTGATCAAGTTATACTGGCTAAGCAGTCCACTCATCTTTCTATTTTGGGAGAGATGTGAGGGTATTCTGAGAAGACTATACAAGGACTGGGAAAAAAATCATACTTTTTAGGTAGGGGTGGGAAGCAGAAAGGCAAAATGAAGAGGAAAATCATAAGAAATTTCACTGAAGCAGAGGAAAAAAGCAAATTCCCAAATGTGTTAATCAAGGATTAGTCTTTCCCAAACTATTGAAGTTACGAGCAAGTAATCAGGAAGACTAGGAGCTATTTTTGACCATAAATGAATTGTATAATGGCTCTGTTGCAGTTCTGTGACTTTGAAACCAGGAATTAAACATTATTTTTAAGATAAAAAAATTTCCTATGCTAGTCTCTCAGCAAAATGTACATGTTTTGGAGACTTCAAAGTTATTATAAGTTCACATCTAGTAACAGCTTATTAATAACCCTCAAGCTGTCAGAATCGCTATAGTTACCATTTACAATTTTATACTGTGAAAAAATACAGATCAGTGAAAGTATAAAGACAAATCAGAATTTCCTTTGAAGAGGGTATGAGGCCTGGGAGATTCTCTACTGTTCATTGAAAAATGAGGCATGTATAAAATAGCTGGTTAAATTTCACTGATCTTCCCAATGTGAACAAATATACTATGTATATTGTGTGTATTTCTAGAATTCAATGGCAGCTGCTGGTGGTGTTGTAATTAGAGATCTATATAGAATATAGATGTTTTAGAAAGATGGTGCCAATTCCAAAAGATTTGTGTGGGCTACAAGTGCTTGTACTTACTTTCTCTGCACTTATAACTGATTTGGTTTCAAAATTGTGTGAGCGTATCTGTTCCTTTTCTGTTGTTGCAGCTTGTACTATTAAAATAATAGAGAATGTTAAATTATTTTGATGTGAATTGCAAATGATTTTTCATAAACTATAACATTTTTATCAGCATTGTTTTGCTTTACTTGTATAAATGTGTTTTATTTTAACATTTTAATATATACTTGCCTGTTTCTCAGTTGTCTAAATTATGTTTGAGGTGGTGTTTGTGAAGTTAGTTACTTTTTGAAAACATATTAAAAAGAAATTATGGTATGACTTAAGATTATTCCCCTTAAATGTTTAGAATATTGTCCTAATTGTGTTTTCTATGATGAAGAGTTATGATATTAAATTCTGAATGACATACACAATCAAATTAAAGGGTTACAAAGCAGACAATGGATAGTAGATTATAATGAAAATATAGATCAACCACAAATCAACTAGAGATGTTGTTCCCAAAGACATCTACAAACAACTTTTAAG